TGAGACTCCCTGGAATGTGACTTTATCTGATGGCTTTTGTGAAAGGCGCTAACAATCTCAGCATTGTCCAAAAAGAGAAAAAAAACTTTGGTGACGATGAATGGAAAGGGRAAAATCCGCAGGTAGAACAACAGGAAGATTCAGTCACATTTCCCCATTTTTTCCCCCTTCTTTTTTTAATCTAAAGCCCAAACTTCTAAACCAAACCCACACGTGTGCTGTACAGTTTCCACCATAAAAAGCTGCATCCAGGGCACAGCCAAGGGAAATGCCAGAGAACTTGTATGGCGGGAAGATAACTGCATTTTGGCAGTGCTACCTGTGTCATCCACAACCACAAAGCTGTCGTCACCCRAAACGAGCCGCAGGAGTTGGTCCCAAGAACTACCCAACTCTCCTCCCCACAGTCAGCAGGGAATTGCGCTGGGAGAGCTGCAAGGCGAAGCCTTGCCGGAAGAACGGCGAGAAAGACTAAATCCCACAAGATTTCAGTGCAGCTCTTCTCACCCATCTCCGGTTGCCTTGGGAGCACAATTACCTGCGCCTGCCGTTTGATTTTATCTTGCTTTTCTCAGGTTCGGGGCTGGCTGGAGCGGCCGCCGTGTGTGTGCGCGCGTGTGGGTGCGCGCCGCGCTGCAGGCAGCTGCTTGTCGCGCTTTGCCAGCTTCGCCCTCTAACTGTTTGCTTTTCTCAGGGCCTCCTCGGAGAGGAAGCTGAACTTTGGGGAAGGTTCCTTATCCTTAACAGGGGCTGGGAGAAAGCTCGTGGGAAGGCTGCTGCCTATGAACGGGCACCGAGAGCTCCAAGAGCCCCGCGGCTCGGCACGGAGCCTGTGGACCATCCAAGAGCACAGAGGCTTCCTTCCCTTTTCCAAACACGTCCAAGTTTGCTGCAAACCTGCACGACAGGATCCAGAGAAATCCAAAAAACGACAGGAGACCTATCGGGGAAAAGAGGCACAAGCAAAGTCTCACCTAGGCTCAAGAGCAGTTGCTCCTCCAGGCTCCAGTCGCCTGYCTATGTTCAATCCATTTTTCTGAAGTTTGTTTTTGGATGAGCTCTCCAGATGCTGCACGACCACGTGCTCCAAAACAGAGCTCACCTCCTGGGATTTACAGCAACCCCGGCTCCCTTCCTGCACGTYGTGGGCCTCTCAATCCCTACGTGATGGTGAACTGAGAAGAACAAGGAGAAGCTTAAGGATAAATAAAAACGACTGGTGTTGCTTCCCTTGAAACAGCGCTCGCAGATTTCTGCTTAAGGAACAGAAAAAGGAATTGGTGCTAGATTGCTAGATTAGAGATTACACTTCTGTGCCCTCCTATCCCCTCCTACCTGAAAAGAGACGGTATATAAAAAAAAAAAGTTTTATTCAAACTAAGATCTTGGGGCATGACAAGAGTTACAGAGAGGCAGGTGACCTCTGCTACTGTCCTCTCTTACAGACCTAGCTGAAAAATAAGTAGTAAAACAGTCTATTAGCACAAATACTAAAGAGGAATGCCAGCTTTAAGACTAACTATGACTCTGTAGGACAGGCTCAGCACCAGCCTGATTCAGCAAAACAGCCCCGATCCAAAACAGGGAGAGACTAGAAATAAGCACAATCCCCCACGCCCCTTGGCTCTTTGGTGGCCGATCAGGCTCGCTAAGAGCCCGCAGGGACGTTTCGGAGCCAGCCCGGCCGGGGGTCCGGCTCCGCACCGCGGGGCCCGGCAGGTCGGAGGCGCTCGGGCTCCAGCGCCTCGGTGCTTTCCTCATCCCGGGGGCCGAGCTCCCGCTGCACTTCGGCCGCTSGCGCTGCCCGCGGAGGGAGGAGCTTCCCAGCACCTGCAGCTGGAGCGAGTCCCGCGGGCTCGGCGGGATGCGAAAGCTCCGGAGAGGAGCCTGGAGGAGGGAAGGGTCCAGAGGATTCCCCGCGTGCAGCAACGCTCGTTCTCCCGGCACGTTTTGCGCATCACCCGGGACCTCTCTCGTACCTCCTCGTTATGAAGTTGCTGCCCTCATGGAAATAACCAGGTTGGAAAATCCCAACGGATCCCATCAGCAAAGCGCCGAGCACGTCCCCAGCTGCAGCACACCAAGGAGCGGGGAGAAGGGAGCAGGACTGACCGCCCTCACCGGGAAAGGGCAGCTTGAATTCCCATCCCGTGCTCGGCCTGTTGAATTCCCATTCCCGCACAGCGCCTGCTCACGGGGCCTGTTTCTCATCCTACCCTCTGTCCTCCGGGAAGGCAGCGTTCCTGCTTCAGCCAGGCTTAATTTATTTGTTTGCAAGCAGGAAGCAGAGCTCATTTCCAGCCTGGAGAGATCAATGTCGGGTTCCCTTGGGCTCTGCGAGGAAGGCTTCGATCTGCGTTCTCAAGAACCTGCAACTGGCCAGCCTAATTCTGAGAGGAGGATTAGRTTTAGGGCTGCCTTCCTCACACTGCAGCTGTTAATCCCAACTCCATCCGCTCTGTGCAGTCCCTTGGCTCACGGGAAAACAAACCTCTCTGTGATGGAGGTAATTCGGCAATAAATACGATGTGATGGGATCACTTAGGATGCAAGGTTAGGAATAAAATTCCTGATAGATACTAGCCCAGCAAAACCTTGACTTGTATGGGATGCTACCAGACCTTGGGGGGAAGATCTCCCCGGAACAACAAGGTTTCCAGTTACACCTACAAGCCTTTCAGGACACAGTCCAGTTTTAATACCTCAAATGTGGAATCGATTTACTTGTGTTGGGCAAATGCAACCCCTGGTCAGCCAGCATCGTGTCCTGTGTGAGTCTGAGTTAGCGCAAGGGTGGGACACTGCTGATGTGGTTGATAAAAGAGGACAGTAACTGGTGAGCACGAGCAGCGAAATCAGAGCCCAGAAATCTGGAGGTCCATCTACGAGGAAACCTTCAGGCACTAGTTCTCTGCTGCATAATCCAAACCCGGACACTTGGGACCTGCATTTGACTCAACAGGCAATGTGAAATCGCACRCTTTGAAAGCCACCCATAAATGCATTAAAAAATGGTTGCAAAGCACATCCAACCAGTAATGGCTATTTCATAACCCCAGGTTTAGAGAGGAAAAGCTGCTCAGCTCCCTCTTGCTTTAGCAGAACCCCCACAGTTAAAAGGCTTGGAGCTTTTGCTAGCCAAGCTGAGGTCCCCCCAGCATCGCAGTGCCCAGGGATGCGGGGATGGACAGTCCTCAGCACCCAGCTGAGCACCACAAGCCCCAGCAACCCCATTTCTCRCTCCTTTATCCATGAGTTGGAGCACTCAGCCCAGGCAACACCAGATCCACATCCACCCACATGCCGGGCGACGAGCCACTCCTGGGCGAGCAATTCCTATTGACTTTGGAGAGGGAAAGGGGCTGGCGCTTTCCAAGCAGAACGCCGGCGGAGCGGCCGCTTCCATCCGCGCGATTCCAGGCTCTCCTGTTGACGTGGGCCCTAATGAACAATTATGCAAAGTGCGTAACGAAGAGCTCACGAGGGCTCCCTGCAACTCCTTCCTGCAGGAAAGGTAGCGCCTCTCTGCAGGCAGCAGCTCTGCCCTTGTCCTCGTGGAYGGCCACGGCAGCTCCCTCGCTTTGAGAACGTCTCCCGAGTTCCAGGTATTTGCATGGGTTCAGGCTCCTGCTCCTGGAAAAGGGGCTTCTTGTAGAAGCAGAAGGTTGAACGTCAGACTGCCTTGTAGGCTCTTAAAATTAATGGTTTACTTCATCGGGAACAATTTCTCCGCTTCTCACTCTAGTCAAGGTCAAATCTAATTTACTCCTCAGATTTACTCCTCCTCTGGGATCAGCTATGGACAAGATATGTAACAAGGATAAAAACACTTTTGGGGGCATGGCKGGCCACTGCACAGCAAACTGGGGGACTACTGAGCTACTGATCTCAAGGGGAGCTCTTCCATCMAAGTCCAAAAGGGAGATGGTCACCAGAACAGGAGCACGTGTAGCAGAGGCCTGGTACCAAACTCAGCTCAGTAAAATACATAAATATATATGTACACACCAACGAGCGCGTCTGGAACGCATTGGTGAGTCTTGCAAAACGGGAAGTGGAAGCAGTTAGTCAYGGAAGACGCACATAAAAGCGACGAGTCGCTTCAGTTTGGGGCGGCGGTGCCACCCCAGGCGGGCAAAATGCCTCAAAAGGTTTAAATGAAACCACAGATCGGTCAAAGTCCTCTCCACAGGAACCCAGGCGAACGTTTGAAGGAAATATCAAACCACATGTACACACTTCATCCCTGGGCAGGGGCAATCCGCATACCTGGAAGCCACAGTGACACAAAACCCTTCAAACAAACAAACAAACAAGCAATGCTGCTTAAGACAAGAAATCTTTCAGGAAAATAACCTTTCAAAGCTTCTCCCCACGTCAGACCATGGGAGGAACTTGAACGAGAACAAACTCCAGCAAACTCCCTGCTGGATGTTGGTTTTTAATTCACTAATAACATTMCTTCTTACTACACAAGCTTCCTTCTTGCCCCATAAGCTTCCATGCTACAAAAAGATWGTATTTTTTTTTWMTTTCCCTTTCCCTAATAAACCCACTAGCTATTACCTTGGCTCAAGTGAGAATATAACAGAGATCAGTGGATTTCTGCGTAATACTGGTTTGCATTAAAATCAAAGTAGAACAAAAGAGCCCTCTTCAAAATAGCGCAAGAGTTAACACAAAAGTCTGCATGTTTCACACCACATGAATTAAAAATTTCACAGATGACAGATTCATTTCTGTAGGAATTTAAGAAAAAACACTGGATTTGTGACGTTTTGCATGAAAACACAGGAGCTCTCCCCCAAACTTAAGGTCAACTGCGTTYGTTGGGGTCAGACCCCAGCAAGGATGGAGCAGGGGTTCTATGGTTTGTATTCAAGGCTGAGACACGTAAATTAACATGGAAGTTGTAAACTCGGCCTCTCCGGAGGCCGACGCGTTCCCGCACGGGCTGTGGTGGCGCTTGCTCCATCCCCAAAAAGGCTCCATCGCGTTACCTTAAGAGGGACGCTCMTTCAACCGTCCTCGTCCCCAACACGGCGGCTCTTCCAATTAAGGCCCAACGAGGACGCTGGCGACGAGCAGTCCACAATCAGTCCTTATGAAGGCTGATGATTAGTCTTGATGCGCCCTGGAAGAGAGGAACACCCAAGGTCATGCTTTGTGCAGAGACGAGCAAGTCATTTTAGACAGATCGACCATTTTAAGCAAATGCCTTTTTATTGTCCCGACTGCTTGAGCTCTTCTTGGGGGTGACGGGGACCGTCTCGTCTAATTGTCACTGTCCCACTYGCTAACGTGGTCTCCATATCAAGCAAGGTTGCCAAGCAAAGTCTCGGCCTACAGGCATCGTTGGGGGCAGGCCAGACTGCAAAACACATGGGAAGAACTGCAGAAAAGATGAAGACCGTGGGTCAGACCGCCTGCAAGTTGCCCAATGTGTGAATATACCCAAAAATTAATGAAGAAAAATTGTCCTAAATGAATGTTTTGCAGAGAAGACTATGAGGAACATAAATCAGCTGGCCTCAAGTTGAGAAGATCTCCAGATCCTACACTCAAATCCCAGGTCACTGCCTTAAGCACCAACCTCTGCCACCTCGTCCCACCGAGAAGATCCTCAGGGATCCTGAGGGGTTTTCCCCCCATTTTGAGCCAGGATGGGAGAGAAACCTCCTACACGGGCCACGGATGCGGGACTGGGAAGCCCGGATCCCTTTGGAAACAAGCGGCAGTTGAAGCAGGTAGCAGGGAAACGGGAGCGCTCCACGAGCAACATCTCATCGGAGGGGCTGCAAAGCAAATCCACCTTTTCCCCCCTATCCCAGCCTTTTTCCYGCCTACAGCCCCGCTCTGCAGCCTCCCAAGGCATCGCGGCGGCGATGACGGAGCTCGAGGCGCGAGGCCAAAGTAAAGGAGCCCTTGGGCAGGTCCRGGACCTTCCCGGGCTCTTGGCAGGCTACGGAGCACCAGGCGCTTCCGTTCCCTTCGGAGAACGGCCCTTTTTTTTTTTTCTTCTTCTTCTTTTCTCTTTTTTTTTTTCCTTCAAATTCAGCCTGGCCGGGAGACTCTTACAGAGGATGTTTTAAAATTTACAGAGCTGCCAAAAGACGTCAGATGAGGAGCCGGCCAAATCCACCCGAGTGGACTGCAGTGCCGGCCGGAGCCTCTTTTTTAAGGTGAAACGAGATCGTAAAAGGCAAAAATCTCCCAGCCATTAGAGCCGGCGCTTCCCACCTCCACGTTAACCTCCGTTTTGTTTGGGTGTATCGGGAGAGCGGAGCACRGCTGCAGTTTGGGAAGAGGGATGATAGCCGGGGCCATCACTATTTGTATGGGACTTTAGTAACTTGCTTTTTTTTTTAAGAGAGAAAAGGCAAAGGAAAGAAATGCATCAGATTGGGGGTTCCCTCTGCTTTCCTTTGAGGGTAATGCTTCAAAATCCAGCGCAGGGGGGACAATCATTTCACGGCGCTCTAGGAAACCACAGGTACAGAGAGTACATCTATCCTAGAAGGAGAAAGAAAACACATAGGGCGATAAAAATCAAGGCAGCTCGTAGAGCTGTAAGATTGAAGAAAGAAACCAGCTGAGTTTATGCACCGAGTCAGACCCCGACGGGCGGCTCAGCCCATTCCCACATCCCCCACGGGCCTCGGCCTCCCTATCTTCTGCCTGAACTTCCAATTGTGGCTCAGAACGGGATGGAAAGCTCTGCACCGACTCGGTTTTTCGCACAAGAGTTCACCCAAAAGGGGAAAAAAAGCACCAGGAGACTCTCACTGATATCCATGTGAATAAATGCATCTGTGGTTCAACATCCAAAGCAAGAAACTGCCCTTTGCTCTCATCCCAAAGCAGAGCTGGGCAAAATCGACCCCAGGAGGCCAGCGCGTCCCAGGAGATGGGATCAGCCCCACCTCTTCCAGCTGTTACRTGGCACTTAGGCTGGGAAGCCCATGTCCTCTTTGACTCCATCCACCTCTGTAATTAGGATTTTAATTTTCAGCTCCTTGATTGTGGCGGAGAGAACCTTAAGAGCCCAATCAGGGGCCATTAAGAGCAGGAATCAAGGGAAACGCGKCGCCAACCACGGGTGTCTCTCCCCTTCCCTTAAGTGGAAGGAGGAATGGGGAGCTTGGCACCCACAGGAGASGGATCCACAAAGCCCTCTGGTTGATGGGAACTGCCTGCAACCTGCAGAGCAGCATGCGGAGCCTGGTTTCAGTTCCCACCTGCTCCAAGGTTCACATCCCCCTTCCAGGCCTCCCAGGATGCTGGAAAGGGCAGCTCAAGCCCTACTGCYGGTCAAAAACCCTCTTCCCATCCAGAACTAAAGGTTACAATTACAGTAAGAATGACTCAAGCAGGAAAGACCTATTAAGAAAGAAAAAAAAGGGTGAAAAAAAAGGAAAGGAGTTTTAATGAAAACACGCAGGCAATTCTGAAACAGAGGAGATCCATCTCTGCGTTGCACCTCATGCTCTGCCTAGGTTGCCAATTAAATACATTAGCTAAAACCAGACACGCATTGCTCATCTTGTACCTTTAATATTTTAGCCACCAGAAYGCGAACATCTGTTTTGCTTCGCGGCTGTCAGCAGTGACTCAGTGTTATCTGCAGTTTTGGACGGCAGAAGATAAGTATTCGCGAGGCTTTTTTCCCCTCCCCTTAGCAACAGGATGGCTCCTTTTCAGCTTGAGAAGTCGGCCGCCGAAGCCGCGTCACAGGCACGATTATTAAGTGAGTTATTGAGCTCGGTCGATGCGGGCTGAGGATGAAGCAGGAGAGCTGGGTTGTTTCCTGTGAAATCTAAGGGAAATGGGGGGAAAAAAGGGCAGATGGAGAAGGGGCGTTGAGGAGAAGGGATGAATGTGTCCTGATGCAGCGACCGTTTGCTGCATGAGCTGCCATTGACCCTTGGTGGGCTCAGCAGATCCCCAAGGCATCGCCAATCCGGTGCCTTGAAGGGTGAAGGAAATGGGAGGGAAGATGCATCCCTGCTCCAAGGGATGCAGGAAAGAAAGGGATGCAGGAAAGAAAGGGATGCAGGAAAGAAAGGGATGCAGGAAACATCCATGCACCGAGGGACTCACCCTGAGGTGAGGGTCAAGGCCAAGGCCAAGGCTGGGTTTCTCCAACCCAACAGAGCTGGGATGCTGCAATGGAGACACCACCTGGGAACTGTGGCGGACACGGATCCGAAGCGGAAGCTTTGGAAACACCAATGCCTGGCTCCCGGTGAGTACTTTAACCTCCCAAGTGTTTTCCTCCCCATTTCAATAAACTCCCAGGTAAAGCCTACGGCTCCTTGTGACGGAGCAGATCCAAGACCGCTTTAACACGGGACCTCTCCAGGTCCCTCAGCTCCAGGCATGGAAAGTGCCATGGCTGCTGTTGCTCTCAGAGCAGCACGCAGCCCCGCGCCGCTCGCAGACCTTCCCACCTCGCTCCTCATTAGCGCTCGCCGGGCACGGAAGCAGAAGAACTGGTTTGAAAAGAGAAAAAGGAAAGAAAACACAGATGGCTCTCGATAACACGGCTAATTAATAAAGCCCGAACTAGACGGGCTGGTTTGGTCTGCGCGCTCCATCTGCTTTGACTTTGCTCGGGATGTTTCCCATGTCCACCAGCAGCTACTTCCATACGGATGTTCCCGCATGCCGACAAGGCAAAGCCATCGGCGCCCGGTCACAGACCCTCTCCGACAGCATCAGCACTCATCCATATGCTCTTTTTGCAAGAAGAAGGGGCCAACATCCATAAACATGACTTTTCAGTAGGCAAGAGATGGTCCAGGCACAAAGCAAGGCTCTATTCCCTCTGCAGTATCCCTACTCCCATACAAATTTGTCCCAACTCCATCTCCACACTTCTCTGCAGCCTCTAGCCAGGTACCTGGAAAGCCTTAGCCTCAAAAGGCAACTTTTTCACCAAATCAGCTAAAAGCCCAGCAGAATCAACCAGCTTAATCAAGACCCAGAGCATCGATGCTGATTTTTAAGGGAATATTTGGGGAGCTATTAGCACAGCTGCCTCCCTTGGAGCTGCAACCCTACAAATTCAGGTTTGGGGTCCGAGCCTCTGTGCGTTGCTGGTCCTATTGGACACAGCAGAGAGGCAGGAATGGGTGCCAGGGACTCCAACCAGGCCCAGCATCAGCCTCAGAAACTCCCACGGGCCCCAAGAGCCTGGACAAAAGGAAGGGGCCAGCAAAGAAGCAGSGGGGGCACGACGTTCCCTCTGCTCCACTTGTCTGGTTGTTGAAGGCCTCCAAAACAACAGGAAACCGGCGGTCAAAACGCGCCCATGGTTGTGATGCTCTACGCTCAGTTGAGGACAGGCTGACTCATACTGAAACCAGCTCAAAAACCTGGTTTTTGGTTTTGTCTTTTGTGACCTGAAAAAAAAAAAAGATGAACTAGGTCTTGGTGCTGCGAGGAGAGTTCACAAAGGGTGAARTCTTTCACTGAGGTTAAATCCTTTGGGGTCCGACATGGATGATTCTGGATACGCTCTGGCTGTATTAATGCACGCACGGATCTGCTGCGGGCAGCTGCTTGTGCTGGGAAGAAAGRGCGAAAAAAAGAGCAAGGACCAGAAATCTAAAAACGTGGCATTCTCCCTAAAGCACAGAAGAAAGGCAGGAAGGCGACTGGGGCTGAATAAGTGACATATTATTGGGAAAGCCCAGGCCACACCTAGCGTCACGTGCAAAAAGAATAACCCAGTGTTCAAGCAAAGGAGGGAACGCAGAGACCTTCACAAAAGGAAAAAACCCAGTAATCCAGATGCTCAGGTCCCCCTGCCAGGCCAAGATCCCTGCCCCCTCTCTCACTACAAAAGCCATTTAATTTTCCAAGGGGAAAAAGCGGGGATGTGTGTATGAAGACCAGGGGTAGATCTGGAACACCAGCCGACTCCCTATTCCAAAGGCATCAAATTCCAGGCGAGATTTCCCGCCGCTCCGGGGACATCTGACCCCAGCGGCTCCCTCGACACCCAAAACACYGCAGCTTCCAAGTCTGGGTGCCAGCGAAATCCTACGGCACAAATCCGCTTTCCAGCCTTCTCCCGCGTTAAGCACCGGGAATACGGAYGAGCAGCGACGCATCCCAAGAAACACA